TTAAAGATCATATTGTTCCAAGCCCCCTGCTGTGGACAGAGACACCTTCCACTAGACCAGGTTGCTCAAAACCCCATCCAGCCTGGCCTTGGACACTTCCAGGGACAGGGCATCCACAGATTCTCTGGGCAACCAGTGCCAGTGCCTTACCACCCTCACAGGGAAGAGTTTCTTCCTAATAGTTAATGTAAACCTACTCTCCTTCAGTTTAAAGCCATTCCCCTTTGTCCTATCTCTACATGTCCTTGTAAAAAGTCCCTCTCCAGCTCTCTTGTAGGCCCCCTTCAGGTACTGGAAGGCTGCTACAAGGTCTCTCTGGAGCTTTCTCTTCTCCAGGATGAACAATCCCAATTCTCTTAGCCTGTCTTCACAGGAGAAGTGCTCCAGCCCTCTGATCATCTTCTTGTCCCTACTCTGGACACGCTCCATCAGGTCCACAACTTTCTTATGTTGGTAGCCCCAGAGTTGGACAGAGTACTCCAGGTAGGGTCTCAGGAGAGCAGAGTAGAGGGGCAGAATCACCTCCCTCAACCTGTTGGCCACACTGCTTTTCATGCAGCCCAGAATACACTTGGCTTTCTGGGCTGCAATTGTACATTGCTGGCTTATATTCATTTTTTCATCAACCATCATCCCCAGGTCTTTCTCCCCAGGGCTTCTCTCAATTCATTCTCCACTCAGCCTGTACTTGTGCTTGGGATTGCCATGACCCAGGTGCAGGACTTTGCACTTGGCCCTGTTGAACTTCATGAGGTTTGCACAGGCCCACCTGTCAAGGTCCCTCTGGATGGCATACCTTCCCCCCAGTGTGTCAGTTGCAGCACATAGCTTGGTCTCATCAGGAAACCTGTTGAGGGTGCACTCAATCCCACTGTCCATGTCATCGACAAAGATGTTAAACAGCACCAGTCCCAATACTGACTCCTGAGGAACACCACCCATCACTGGTCTCCACTTGGACATTGAGCCCTTGACTGCAACTCTTTGAGTGTGACCATCCAGCCAATTCCTTATCCACTGAGTGGTGCACCCATCAAATACTTGTCTCTCCAGTTTAGAGACAAGGATGTCATGTGGGACTGTCAAATGCTTTGCACGAGTCCAGGTGGGTGAAGTCAGTCGCTCTTTCCTCATCCACCACATCTGTAAATCCCATCAACCAAATTTGTCAGACATGATTTGCCCTTAGTGAAACCATGTTGGCTGTCACCCATCACCTCTTTATTTTCCTTGTGCCTTAGCATAGTTTCCAGGAGGATCTGCTCCATGGTCTTGCCAGGAACAGAGGTGAGACTGACCGGCCTGTAGGTTCCCGGATCTTCCTTATTTCCCTTTTTAAAAATGGGAGTTATATTTCCCCTTTTCCAGTGCACATAAACTTGTGCACCTACAGGTTCCTTAAATGGTCTCCAACCTGATCTTCTCGAGCAGGCAGTTCCTCATTTTCCCAGTCCCTGCCTTTGCCTTCTGCAACTTGGTAGGTGTGGTTGGAACACTTGCTGGTGAAGACTGAAG